AGGAATAGACAGTGATCAAGCAGCTTTGGCTGGAATGTCCTCCAATAAATTATCTTCATATAGGTCCTTGAAGACTGTAGGTGTCTCAATGTCATGTAATGTCATTATATTTATTATTATATAAACAGTCCAAGGGATTTTGGGAAGTTCTAGCAACATATGTATTAAGTCTTGGAGCTAAAACCCCTGTTTGCATAAATGCTGTCAAAGGCAACTGAATTGCTTGCTTCTGCCAGCTCTGAATTTAAGGCCAAATTTTCAGAGCATCTGAAGGCAGAGACTCTAAGTAGGCTTTCCAAAAGCTCATAATTAGGTGTCCACCTCTCCTTGAAAGGAGGCTCTGCATAAAGGCGTCTGGGCATCTACTGCGTTTTTAGGTGCTTGAACATATAGCTCAAATACAATCATTGTATCATAATGAAATGTCAGACAGCAAGAGTTAATAGCACTCAGCACCTCTAAAACATATCTCCCCCCCTACTCTTCTCTGAGAGGTTTCTTAGTAAGGCTGCTTGTACTAGTTTGATGAGATCCCCTTCAAAAACTAAAGCATTGTTGCTATTTATTTAATAGGGAGCAGGGTTGGACTCTAATCTGTTTTTTGCATAGTAGTTGCATAGGAATGAATTCTAATCTATGATTCTATCCACTAAAAAAAAAAAAAAGGTATGGGAGGTAGGAGTTGGGAGAAGCTGCTGAAACTAAAGCATTAAGTCAGTAGTTAGAGTGGAAATGAACGATTTGGAGTTGTCAGCCTATAGCCTCATAAACGAGGATGAGAAATTGTCAGGCTTGTAGAGAAATTGATGCCTTCCTAGTGCAGATTCCAGTCTAATAAATGAAAAGGTGAAAAAAATCATTCTTGATCTAACTGAGATGATTTCAAGCCATCAGAAAATAAATTGATGGCAGAAAGATACTGAGCAGGATATGACTTATTAGGGGAGAAGAACAAAGAATTCTGAGGTGCGGTTCTGGGGGTATTCGAATATCCTTCTTTTCTGCACAGCTGGAGTCATTAAAGCCTGAAGTACAATGTGGAAAATTGTAGGGAGAGATGGGTGCCTTCATCCACACTTTAAGAAAAAAAGATCAGTGAAGGAAAAATAAAGAGCACATTATTTTGGGGATTAAATTTAGCTGTGCGCTTAGAGAGGAGGGGGCAACTAGACTGTGAGTTTCCTTCACTGCCTGGCATTGCATGGCAGACATGGTTTCTGGAGAGAAACTGGTAATGGGTGGTAGATGTTGGTCCTTTGATCAGTGACACTTCTCAAGGCATCCTACAAGTGCAAGGGAATATACTGCTGTGGGGTGCAGAAGTCTCGGTGCAGATCTATCAGTCTGTCTCTTAAACATCCTGGCATATAACATACTCTCTCCAGGACAGGAGCTCACAGCAAAGCTGTCGTGCACAGGCTTGAAGCAATCTCTCGTCTTTCTGCATGTCTCACATCTGGTGCGGCCAACAGAATCACTGTAAGATACTTGCACAGACCCCAAATCACCGAGTTTCTTCACCTCTTTGAACTGAGGCACTGGGCTCCACCTGTGCATATGAAAGTGAGTTCATTGAGTACTGGCCTCCAGACAACTGTGTTAAACTGGGTGAGTTTGGAGACTGTTCTTGGAAAAATACAGGATTTGCCATCAAGAACAAGAGCTACAGACTTCCTAGTCTGTAGCAGTGGAGAGAGTGTTTTATTCTTGCTGTTTACAGAAAGATTTCCTGGTTTATGAGTAGAAGTTTGTTCAGCCTTCCACCGTTGTCCTGCTGTTACAGTGTGTGAGCTGAATGCTGAGGGACAGCATCCAAAGTGTCTACTCAAGGGCCTACTGGTTTTAGGATGAGGATTTTATGCACTTTTCCTTTGTAGCAAGTATGTCCCTGTGCCTGGCATAGGTGGGTGTTCATGCAGAAAGAGGAGAGAGCCACAGTCCGAATGCGTTTGTTCCTTCTTGATTTTTGAGAGATAATTCTGTTTAGTAAGAGTAAGTTTGTAAGATCTATAAAGGTTATAACACAGCAGTCTTAATGCTGGATTTTAAAATGCTGTCTGCATATTTTATAGTTTTGTTTTTCGTGATTCTTGCATCCAAATAAACATTTTACATATCTCTGGACATTCCTTAGTTACAACAGCAGAGACATTGTTCAAAATGGTTATCATAAAGATTTACTAATAAATAATTTACTAATACATAACTATATAGTCAATTAATAGTTGTAAAATAACTATCTTTTCATAATAGCTGATATGTATTGGCAATCTGGATAACTGGTTGAAAAATCAGTTGATTTGTTTGCTTTTACCTGTGCTTAAAATTCATTTTTTCAGAGATGAGTCTCAGAACTGCTGGGGAGGAGGTGGAGGAGGCAGCAGCATGCAGGAAGGGAAGGCAGTTTGGGTAGAATTGTTTGTCTGCCTTTTTACTTCTCTGACAGTTTTGGGCCCCCTCCATTTAAGTATTACAAATGCTGATTGAGGTTTATGACTGCTGATTAATAATGATTTATACTCATTGTCATCAATATTTTCTAGAGATAATTTTGACTTTTTACTTTAACAAACAAACATACCGGACCAAAAGCTAAAAACACTTTGCAAAGAAAATCCAATGTTTCTCTCAGAAACAAACATCTAAAGCAACAAAGCTAATAGCAAATTTTACTTCCGATTGGAAAGTTCCATTAAATGCTGGAACGGTCACCTGCCTTGGTACTGTGCAGCTGAAGGCACGTAGGTCTGTTCTTGAGTATTAGCTTGCCTGGACTTGGCTTGTGTGACTTTGCCTCTTTGTCCTGTACAAGATACAGTATTCTTGAGGCACAGCTGACTCTGCAAGAGAAAAGCTGCAGTCTTGCTCCTGGGCCTTTGCACTTGCTTAGGAAATTCAGTGTTGGGAGAGTAAACAGGTCTAGTACCTGGTGTACATGAATTCTGTATAGCTGAAGGAAACGACTATGACGTCTCCTTCTTGTAGTACATAGTAACAGCCTGGAATAACACCAGACTCTTTCTGTGGTCACCATAAAAGCGTAATACCAGCCACAGTTTGGTTTATTGCTTTTTTTTTTGTTGTTTTGGTTTTTTTTGGCTATTGACCACCTGGTATTGTGTTAATATTATCTGTTATTGTCAGTAGAACATTTCACAGTCTAAGCATTACAGTAATTAAACATGATAGCCCTTGTGTAGAAGGGCAGAACATTGGGCCTGGCTACACTGTACTCAGTTAAAGCCAAAATAAAACAGAAATACTGTCCCAAGAACATTTAATTTTGAAGAGATGTAGACACCCATTTGGAAATTAGGGCAATACTCAGAGTACTCTGAACTGTTTGCTGCAACACTTCTATTGCAAAACTCCACTCATCTAAAGTTAATGTAATACAAAGTTGCCTTGCCATCAAGAAGTGGCCTCTCTGGGAGAGACAACGGCAGGGAAAAATCTGAGCTTAAGGGTCAAGGAACATAAAAGTGAAGAATGGGTAAGAGATTATGTTGTTCTGATATGAAGCCCCAAACTAAACATGTATTGGCTACACACATAATGAAGTGCTATGAAATGTCATGCGTAACATAAACCCAACAGTCCTGTGCAAAAATAATCTCAACAGTAATTCTGCATTATTGACCTGTAACAACATAAGCACATCAAGTCTTTTTTGCCAAGTCCAGAGGCAATTCACTATTAAATGACTAGACCGCCACATGTAGCTATACTGATGTAAGCGTTTACAATTTCCCATCATTTTTGTATTGTTATTATGTATTTTCTATGACTTAGGTGATGCCAGTTGGTCATCGCCTAGCTAACCAGAGGGTGAACAATTTTAATCAGCAGCTACTAATCTTGCACTTGTTCTCGAGCCCAACTTCAACATGTTTTTTCTAGTTTAAGGGTTTACCAAGCAATCTGAAGGACAACACTGCATTTATTTGGTTTTGCACTGTCTTCAGCTTTACCAACCAAAGTTAATGTAGGGTTAGATACTACAGATACCTAGTGTTGACAGAAGCTGGTCTTGATGCTATGAATAATTTCTCCAAGTTGGTAGGTCGTGGCAGCAAACACTAAGCTTTGTAGTATTTCTAGTCTGGGAATGATAGTAGCTGCCTGCCTTTGTTGTTCATTTATGTATGTCCCAAGGTAAATAAGATAACTTTTTGTCTGTTCTTTCTTTAAACTTCAGGTTTAATCATATGATTTCTCACACATGATGGGCATCTTAGCTTCAAAGTTGTTACCAAAGTCATGATCTAGTTAGAACATTTCAGCATGGCTTTTCTCGAGCTGCAGCACTTGCTCTGTGAGATACCTTGGTTGTTTGAATTGCTGTGCATATAATTTTATCATTATGCATTCTCTCACCTAAGAGATTGGATGTGCTACTCTGCTTCCCTGTGGTTTTCTGCCAAAAGAGGACCAGTGACATGGCCAGAATTGGCTCCTATAACGTTACATTTCCTTTTCAAAAAACTTGCATGTAATAACTACAGAAGTCAGTCATAAAAAGGAGAGTAGAAGGAAGTCAAATGTCAGCAATTGTTTTATTTCAATGATCGGAAGTAGTTTTTAGCCATATTTGTTTCACTAATGAGCGCCAAAATTATAGAAATTTTGACTGATGTCAGTGTGCTCAATTTGTAAATCAGTTCTAGCAGCTATGTGCTAATTTGTTGTCGTGAGAAAAAAGGGAGGATTTTTTTTTTTTTTAAAGAGGAAATATTGAAGTACTTGTACCTCACGCTAAATTTTATGGTCCTCTATTTCTCCTCTCACTCATTTCTGTGAGTTTTGTCTGTATAAAGATCACAAGGTTAAGTCAATTTCTTTTAACAGCTCAGTTGTTTTCTTAGTCAGGAAGCTACTTGCTTTTTAATGGATTGATGTTTATCTGCTAGAGGACTTTAAATATAATATTCCTACAGCAGTATGTGACTGCAAGGCATGCCATTAATGCAGTTTAAAAAAAAAAAAAAAAGACTACTTACAGATATTGGAATAATTGCTGCCTATTCCAATACGGATGGAGCTTCCAGAGATGAGATAAAGATGGAAGAAAAGAACTAAGGAGGGAAAAATGGAAAAAAGGTCCTTAATAGCAGTTTGTTTTTGTTTTGCAACCAGATGTCAGTTGAAGACACATTGTGGTATTAACATGCACCCACTCTCTCTGGGGCAGGATTACGCGTTTCAGACTCTGAAATTACGCACAGATGTAGCTTGAATGGGGGTGAAAAAACCCAAGTAAGTCATTGCTTCATACTTCCAGGAATCACTCCAGTTCAGGAAATGACATTATATATGACTTTAATGCCTCTTAGATTCAAAACCCCACGTATAAACAACAATGTGTTATATAAATATGCTAATTATTCTTGTTAAGTCATTCACCAGTCTCTGAAACAGGCACCTACCATTGTAAAACAAAAGAACTGCTTCCTAATTTGTTTAAGTGCATCTTGAATACATTAGGCGTGCGTGTGTCAAACTGGGTTGGAATAGATGTGTTCTAAAATTTGATACACATACTCCCCCTATGCATTTAAGCTTTAATATTTATAACTTGCACTTCAGAGATTTATACTTGCAGGCAGCAAAATGCACACGAGTAAAACGTGTCCTAAATAACAAAACGTTTAGATTTCGGAAAAAAAGGTGGTCTGGTTCGCTCCTGCAGTTGATGTGAAAGAGGAGCCCCTGCCAGCCGGTGGGATGTAACACAGCCTTTTGCCGAGGCTGTATTTACAGCCCGGCGCAGCGCGCTCTCCCCCGTGCCCCGGGGCCGGCCCGGCTGCTGCCCC